AATAAATAGCACATTTTATCTCTGAAGCAGACAACTTCTCAAAAATTGTAGACCAGTGTTACACCCATCTGTAGCATGTCCTGGATCTCCCATTCTATAGCAGTTTTAGCTTGAAGAGACACCTGGTATGGTTGGGCTCTAATTGGGAAAGCATTACCTGTGTCAATGGAGTGGTATGCCCATTCGGTCCATCTTGGGGTGGCTGAGAACATCGGCAAAAAGCTAGTGCACAGCTCCTTGATCTGCTGTCGCTGCATGAGTCCAAGGGTCGTGGAGAGATTCACCTCTTCTACGCCACCCTCACTTTTTCCTTCATAGTAGATACCTGCAGGCCACTCAGTGTCATCTCATTCCTGGGCTGTAAACTGACAAACCTTTAATTCTCTGGAATAAAAGGGCTTTAGAGAATTAACATGATATACCTTAGGCTTTAGGTTTGAGGTGGGGGATGCTATGAGATAGTTAACAGCTCCCAGACGCTCTTGGACCATGAATGGCCGTTCCCATGACGCTTCCATCTGATGGGCCTGGAGCACCTTCAAGACCATGACCTGGTCCCCTACTTTGAAGCAACGCTTTTTGGCATGTTTATCATACCAAGCTTTTTGCTCTTTCTGAGAATCTTTTAGGTTTTCTCTAGCAAGGGCTAAAGAGGTTCGTAGGGTTGTTTACAAAGTTCAGAATGTTAGTTCCTGGAGAAGCCATAAACCGCTCCCACTGCTGCTTCACCAATTGTAATGGCCCCTTAACCTCGTGGCCATACATAAATTCAAATGGTGAAAACCCTAAACTGGGATGTGGTACAGCCCTGTAAGCAAAAAGCAACTGCTGCAACACTAGGTCCCAATCATTGGAGTGCTCATTTATGAATTTGCATATCATGGCCCCCAAAGTTCCATTAAACTTCTCCACCAGGCCATTTCTTTGATGGTGGTAAGGGGTGGCAACCAAGTGGTTCACCCCATGAGTTTCCCAACGGCTTTTCATGGTCCCTGCCAGGAAATTAGTTCCCGAATCCATAAAGATGTCAGAGGGCCAACCTACCCTGGCAAAAATGTCTGTTAATGCCTGGCACACACTTTTAGCCCTGGTGTTGCTTAGAGCTACTGCTTCCAGCCATCGGGTGGCAAAATCCATGAAAGTCAGTATGTACTGCTTTCCTCTAGGTGTCTTTTTTGGAAAAGGACCCAGAATATCCACAGCTACTTGCTGAAAAGAAACCTCAATGATGGGCAGTGGCTGGAGAGGGTCTTTGACCTGGTCTTGGGGTTTTCCCACTCTTTGTCACACCTCACAAGACCGGACATAAGTAGAAACATTCTTGCCCATTCCCTCCCAGTGGAAGGATTTCCCTAAACGATCTTTGGTCCTGTTCACCCCAGCATGGCCACTGGGATGATCGTGGGCTAAGCTCAAGAGCTTTACCCGGTACTTAGTTGAAACTATCAACTGTCTTTGAGGATGCCAGTC